TTGACTTCAGTACGTATAAGTGGTATGAGCAGGTAAGGTCGAATGAAGTTGTATTTCATAAAATTGAGAGGCCTACTCCCATAAAGTGATGGTCAACAAGCTAGATCATTGTTTGTTACCCTAAGTTCGATCTTCAACTATTACGACTCAGTGATAATATTTTTAACCATTTCACTTCAAGTAAGGTGATAAAGTCACAAAGACGCACGTGTTAAGGAATCTGAGAAAATATTGCTGAAGACAATAAAATGAAGTTAAGTAAGGTTGGACCTGGTCAGTAACTAGATGGGTGACCGTTTGCGAAGACCAAGTGATGTAAGCTTGGATTTTCGGCTGGTGTAATGGCTAATGACTCGGAATTGTTAATCGGAGAGCCAAGGTTCAATTCCAATTATATTCACTTACGCGCAAATACTCTTAGGAAAGAAATGAATCCACAACTTCTCTACCCAGCTATGGATTAATTAATAAGACTTGTATCACTAAGCCATCATTATCCCCCACCCCAAGTTATTACAATCTAAAAATATTTTGCCGAGATTGCCTTCTCATTGAAACCTCTGATCAATGAAAGGCCAAATTAAAAACACTACTCTCGTCATAATTTGTTCAGTGGTTTTATATATATATATATATATATATATATATATATATATATATATATATATATATATATATATATATATTCGATTGAAAAATATACATCTTCTTAAAGGTGCCATTTCAAAGCGGTTCCATAATATCAAATTGGCAGATGGTCTGAAGAATGGCATAATTTCTGTTGTTAACTGGGGTAAGAAATGACATGTTAATTTTAACGCGTTCAAAACAAAACTGTTCTCTATTAATAACAAGTGGAAGCCTCCTACAGGAGAGTGATAGTTGCACATTCTCAGGCTAACGTCTTCCACTGACATACGAAGACGCAATATATATATATATATGTATGTATGTGTGTGTGTGTGTGTGTGTGTGTGTGTGTGTGTGTGTGTGTGTGTGTGTGTGTGTGTGTGTGTGTGTGTGTACAACAACCTTAAACATCTCTCATTAAATACGACGAACAAGGAAAATTTATTAATCTTTTATTTAATTTTTCTGGCGTTCCTTCGATGGGAGTGAGAGGGTACAAAAACTATCCATACCGTCCATTGTACCAAGCGCATCCCGCCACTTTTTAGCCATTTTCAAGGGAGTCTTGCTTCTTTTTTTGTTTTGTTTTTTGTTTGTTTGTTTTTTTTCTTTATTAGGCTTTGAATTCAAATAGGATTGTTTATTACGAGTTTTTACATGTTGAACACGCTTGTCACACACAGGAAAGTTTAAATATATATTAGAAAGCCAAATAGTATACGAGGGTAACAAAAAGAATGTAACATCTCAAAGATGTAAATTGCACAAACCTGGTTACATATCTTAGGTTCTTATGATGGACGCATGAGAACTTTTCTGTGGTTAGTTGAATCACAACTGTTTCTGTCGAGAGCTAAGCTTATTTGACTCTCCTCACCAACGGGCTAACGCTGGGTACTTAAGGGCCTCTTAAGATATCAGTCAATTCTTCTTGGCAAAGATAAGATAATCCTCTCGTAAATAACTGACAGCACTGTTTTTAAGTGTTTCAGACGTGGAAATTTTGATGTGGAAGATCAAGAACGTTCCAGCAGGCATGCAGTCGTTGACAGCGACCAAGTCAAAACGCATATTTAAAACAATCCAGCTTACACGAAAGAGAACATCAAAGAGATACACTGTATATGTCATATGAACAGTGTTATGCATTTGAAAATAATTGGCGACTTGAACTGCTACGCTGTCATGGTTTAACGGGGAAAATGAATAGATCATTTTTCTAAATGAAGAGATCATTTTCTAAAATGAATAGATCATGTTTCTATCTGTGATACTCGGCTCAAAAATAACAAGAACTGCAAATTCTTAAAAAAGAAAACGACGGTTGTCAATGGATATTGGATTGTTTACAACAATATGGGATTTAAGATTTCCTGTGAAAACGAATCAAGCCATCTTTAATCCACTCCAAAGTCCGTCAGCATGCGAGGAAGGTGATGCTGTATATTCGATGAGATCAGAAAGGCATTGACTACTGTGAGATTCCTACGTAAAATCGAACATTGACTTCAGACAAGTAGTGTTTCTCAATCGGACCAGTTAAAGGTAGCAACCGATGTAAAGCGTCCAGAATTAGCCAATCACAAGGGTGTTGTCTTCCATTAGGACGACGCCAGACCCGTCAGACATTGGTAGAGATTGTCTGGGATGTTCTACTACAACTCCCATATTCATATGATCTTGCACCTTCCGATTATAACTTATTTTGATCCCTACACAATTTTATTAATGGGCAAATTTTAATTCTCTGGAAACCTATAAAATAACTCTTAGACTAGTTCATCACGCAGAAGGATTCCAAGTTCTAGGGGGAATGGAATTTTGTTAAGGCTCCTCAGAGATTACAGAAAATATGGGAATAAAATGGCTAAATAGATGTATGTAAAAATTTATAAATATTGTCTTGGAAAAGCAATTAAAAAGGCTTTAGTTCTGACATACAAAATGGCCGGCTACTCAGGTATTCCGAGCACCCAAACTGTTAAGGCGGCTAGGAAATCTCTGCTGCAAATAGCTGTTCAAGTACAAAGTACAGTTGTATTTGTTCCACACCAACACCTGTGGTTTATATTGATGACCTGCCACGGTTGGCGAAAAGTTTTATCTACCCAGTTTTACTTATATGGTCTTCCCTTGTATGGTTTTCAAGCACTTTCCAAAGTTGTCTCATGTTAGAATCGCCTCCTCAGACCGAAAACTTCAAGAAATAAAAATAAAAAAATTCAACCATGTGAGATTCGTACCCGGACCCACACGTTCTAACCACTCAGCCAAACGCCCATACATATATACATGAACTATCTTGTAAACGTGTTTTATTTTTAAAAAAAAATCAGACGTTTTATGTCTATTAAATGTATTGATCATTTTCTAGTATGCGAGTAATATTTCTCAAATGTGACTGTTGTTGATGTATAAAATAACAAATTTCACATTAGATCCAAGATTTCGACTCACATGTGTCACCATCAAGGTTGTGAGCAAGAAAAAGAAGAAAAGAAAATCAAATGTATTTTAAGTAGTACATTGATCTAAAAGTCACGTTATTTGTTTGTTTGTTTGTTCGAAAGCTAAATTCAGTCTGGTAGAAACGCAGTAAGTCATATGTCAGCGGTGTTACCAGAAACGTCTTATGACGTAATATCGCTTTTTTATGTGTCTCCAAGAATAGAGAAGCTTAGTTTATAGTTATTTGTATTAATGACTGGTTGCTTTTGTTGAATGTAAATCGCTTCAATAATCTTTAGTCTTATTTTTGCAACTGTCTAAAATATAAGTTTCATGTTAGCTTCAAGGTGAGGGATAAAAATAAATCGCTTCTGCAGGTGTTTGAAATCAATAATGGCCGCTTGCCACCGGTTTTCTACTTTGAAAAAAAAAAAAAAAAAAAAAAAAAACTGCTGACCTGCCAAAACATATAGCATCACTTGAAGAATCGAGAGAGGCCTGAACAACAAAACATTTCCATCAAAGAATTAAACCTATTCAAAAGACTTATTTTTCTATGTCCTCTTCCTAAAATCTCTTACATGTTGGAAATGGCAAAGACAAAATATCGGATGGAATATGAATTCCAGATACTGTCTTCACATCCTGATCTCTAATCAGTGTAAAGAAAACATAAGAGTCTCTTCAGGTCGTGGATTTGTACATTATATATATATATATATATATATATATATATATATGTGTGTGTGTGTGTGTGAAAATATATAGAAAATGGGAAGGAACTGGTTTGGTAAATAGTCCAAAGTTCCTTAGTATTTTTGTTATTATTTTTTAAAAATAGTGCTCGATACAAAAGTAGAGCATAAATATAATTATTTATTTAAAAATATGATTCCAGATCGCTACATAAGAGGTCTCATGTTTCAAAACAAGAGCCGAAAACTTCAATATAATCCTTTAAATTAAATTGAGTTGAAATTAAAAAGGGCTCCGTTCCATCTTCAAGCGAGTTTTTGTTGGAATAACGTATATCTGAAATTTACTTGTTTTAAAAGTTGAAATCAAAATCACCATGGTAACAGTTAGGGCGAATTGTCTAAAATGGGTAGGCGAGTGTAGGGTGTTAATGATGAGTGGCGGTATAGAGATACTTTCAAGGTGTCAAGTCAAGGGGAAGGTGGGGGTGTTAAAAAAAACGAAGATGTATTAAGCTTTCGTCAAGTTGGCTTGTCTATGGAGATTTATTTATTTATTTTATTTTATTTTATTATGAAAGGGAATTGTGCTTATAAAAAGAAAAACTTTCGTGGCGTTTGTTTTTTGACGACTTCATAAAGTGTTATCTTTTAGGTAAGGTATTTAAACTACTAATTTGGGCTATGTATTATGAAGGGTGTTATGTTGTATGCAAGTTTGTAGTTAATAATTTCTACTATGAATCTGATGATTGGGCTATTTGTTAAACAAGTTATATAATTTTTTATTTTTTTTATTTCAAACCAAAAATCTGATGATGCCTACAAAAAACCGTTAACTCGTGTCTATTATTTAATAGATTATTATTATTTAGAAGTTTAATAATGTGTAACTTTTCATGGAGGCACAAAGGGCATGGGTCATCCCAAGCCTTACATGTTCTAGCCTTGTCAATAATTTTCCATTTAACTTTTGGTGTCTTATTTGTTTCCTTCAAGTGCCAAAAATATTTTGATAGTGAAGTCTGGTTTCTTTTGTTTATATTATTAAAGGAGCACTTATGCTGCCTCCATCTATCTTTAAAATTATTCTTCGTGGACCCAATGTATATCATATTAGTGCTAGGGCTCTCTGTGGATGAAATATATATATATATATATATACTCATATATTGCTACCTTTGCACAACTTAAATTTTGATGAGGACGCCCAGTTTGTTATAAATACGTTGAAACAACGGTTCTCGTACGATCCCCGAAGTTAAGCAACGTTCAGCCGAGTCAGTACCTAGCTGGGTGAGCATTTAGGAATACCAGGGGCTGTAAGCTTGGATGTGCAAGTGATGTAATGTATAATGGCTCGAAATTGTTAATCGAAGAACCGTGTTCCAATTCCCGTTGGGTTCGTTATATTCACTTAAGCGCAAATACCCTCGGTATTTTCCTTTTCTCTCCTCAGCTATGGGTTAATTATTAAGTCTTGTATCACTAAACGATTATTATCTTTAAAAAAATCTTACAATTTAAAAGTATTATCTGACTTTAACTAACTTGCAAATGTTTGATAAGCCGTAGAAAACAAATCATTCAGTTTTTTTGTTGTTTTTTTTTTTATATGGCTATCTCATAATCTTTAGGCGGTTCAAAGAACAAGATATTCAGTTCTATATTTAATCTAAAGTTCACATGAATTAACTAAAATAGTTTTCGAGCATCTGGATTTATACATTTTTTTCTCATGAATTGACAACGAAAATGTTAAACACTATTTATTTATTAGACTGTTTATTTACAATTATAATGTTTAATGTTAGTTCTCGAGAGAAAAAAGAGTGTGCATAAACCCATAAATGTGTTTGGGTTTTGTTAAAATTCTAGAAATAGCTTTTTAAAACAATAAAACTTACCTATGGTGTATACAGAAATAATGGTGTCAGCTAAAAAAACTATATTTTGAACCACCAATTTTTTACGTGTACGTTTGTTCACTTTGCCAAAAAAAATAGCAATTGTCTGAAGCAGATGTTTGGGACGTGGAAACTACGAAACTATTGGAATGCTTTAGCTATGCCTAATAAATAATATAAAAGAAAAGTGTTAATGCGATATTCACTTGCGAAAAAAAATATTCTTAAAATCCAAAATAAGCGTCGGCTTTAAATAAACCCCAAAGTGTTAAGCTTTTCAAAAATCAATCAATCAATCAACCCCTATGATCTTAACTTCTTCAAATTAAGGGTCAACTGTTATCTTTCTTACATATATTCATAATATGCACACCTCTTTCTCCATTCCTGTACGCTGTTATAAGAACATCATTTAGTAACCCGCTACCTTGAGTGCCTCTAGGATCTTGTACTGGTTGAATAACAGTAAAATAAATATAATAGCAGGAAAAGTAACTTTCTCTTAATTCGCTGTATACGCTAGAAAATGTCGCAAATAAAAACGAAACAAAAGATATGATTTTATGTGGTTCAGCTGATCGGTTTTGATGACGGTAGACATTGAAAGGCAACCTCTTCCACCTGTAACTGCTTCGTATCAGCTTTCAAGGTTGTCCTCTAAAAACGGTTAAAAATCTACTGTGTCCCCAATCATTTGCACTTAAACTCGTTTATACTTATATTCAATAAAAGTTAATGGCCTTTTATGTAATTTTTTGACTTTATGTCCCATATAAAATGATCCTGCAACAGGTTGACAAAGAAGACATTATCCAAAAATATCTGTGGGCCCTGCTCACCCTTTGAAAAGTGGTAGTTTTCTCCACCCACTCACTTTACTTCACTTCTTCTTCTTCTTCTTTGTTTCCAACAAAATTTCCTGTTTCTTAATACTTTGCTTAGCTTTTAGGAAGGCATCTTTCGCTTATCCAATGCGTCTTATAAAAGAGCTATAAAAGTCTATCGAAAGTCGATATAAAATGACTCAATACATTTTCTCTCCTTTCTCTTTTGTTTTAGGCACCGATATTCAGATGATTTTAAACAATTGCTTGGTTACTTATTTTAGTGCATTATTTTACTTACAATTTTTGCCACGTAACAATATAGTCAGGGCATTATTGAAACAATCAGCCGTAAATAATCAACAGTGGCTTTTTCTAGCCATCTGTCACTTATATTATTGCCAACTGAAACTTTAGTCTTTTACATAAGCTGTGAAGTAATTCTTATAAGTAACGTTCTTATTCGAAATAAGTGTTGCGTCATTTGTTGTTTTTCTTTTATATCTTGTATAGAGATGGAGTTATTAAATTGGCCTAAGGTTAAAATTGATCCCCTTTTTTGGCCATATATACGACGGCTGATCAAAACGGACTGGTGCTGAAAAAGAAAACTACAACACATATCAATTTGGCATTTAATCTCCATCTCCGAAATAGTCCCCTTCTGAAGCCACACACTGAAGCCAGTGTCCTTTCTATTGATGAAAGCATTCTTGGAATTCCTTTTATGGAATAGCAAGCAGCTGAATTCTCTTGGATTGCCTCATCGTTTTGAAATCTTGTTTCTTTCAAATGGGATTTGATTTTTGGGAAGAGGGAAAAGGCGCAAGGGGGGTTATCTGAGAAATATGGTGGCTTCCGGACCGGGGGAACCGTTGTCATTGACCGAAAAATATTGCACAAAATAATGGGTACTAATGGAATCTCTTTGATGTTATGGGACGACCACACTCTATACACTTTCCTTCCAAACACTACTATGAACAATGGAAGTGAGGTAGAACGTTAGAATTTAGTGTGTATGCCTGACGGAATCCAAGCTCAATTTGTACTAAGCGGTTTCCCTTTAAGGCAGAGGGTTACTGAATGGTTGTTT